TACACTGTTTCCCCACCGAAAGAGAGCCATGAGAGCAGTCTGGGTACTCATAGCACCTATCACGTTGTTCTCTTTCAGGTTCCCAGTGACGTCCCATGTCTGTTTCATCATTGTGCCATACATATTGCAAGGCACCACTACAGTGAGAGAGTCCGAGGAACCTCCATGACACTAAGGTTAGAAAAACAAGAAGAAATCTTAAGAAGTAGAGATGCATGCTGTCCTGCAGGCTAATAGCTCTGTCCCGAGGGAGTATTTTTCCAATTGGGGAATTGAGGTCCAGGCCCTCCTTCGGTAGTGTCAGGTGGGTGAAATTGTATAAGAATATGCTGAAAGTTTTCTAATAGCTTGCTTCCTTTCCTGTGTCTCTACAGGTATTGCTCAGAGCAAGAACTCAGTTTGATGTAAGTTGGTCATCTTAGGAAATAGCAAGCGCTAAGACATGTTGGTTGGGCTCTTTTCAAGTTTTAGCTATTACAAACTGTGCCACCTAACTGCCCATCAACTGGTGCCTGGATAAAGAAGATGTGTGTCTTTTTAAACAGAGTACTACTCGGCCATAAAGAATGATAACCTGGAGACATTTAAAGCTAAATGGATGCACATTGAGGCCATACTCTTCAGTGCAATAAAAAGGACACACATAGGGAATTACTGAATAGGTTCTCTAGTGTGAGCAACTGAAAGTGTAAATGAGGATCAAAATATATAATAGATAGTGGAATTCGGGGAAAAGAAGGTCAGAAAAAAAAGGGAAAGGGGGTGCAGACCCGGTTGGGGAATGGAAAGAAGGGAAGGGACTAAATATGAGAAGAGGAAAAAACGGAAAGAGTATTTGTAAATATGGAGGGGGCTAAAGGGAGGGCTGGGGAATGGGGAAAAAATAAGAACCAAGAGACATCATGTAAAGGAACAAACTCCCAGTGATGAATATCATCAATTGTATACCTTAAGTGTACTAATAAACTGAATGAATAAAAAAGTTGAAATCAGAATGAGCTACCTTCTGGGAAAAAAAAAAAAAGGATGTATTGGTGACACGTGCCGTCTTCCCT